CGGGGCAGCCATTTAAATTTAAATGAAGCCGCGATTATTTTAATCGCGGCTTCATTTCCCTTTTCCGATCTGGCTAATCTACATGCCTCCGTCGAAGGAGGCATGTAGTCTAGACACACCCATAGGGTGTATCAAGACTACAGGGTTTTTTCAAAAAAAGTGGCCTTTTTTAAAAAAAAACTTCCCCTGCATCTAGACTGCTGCTGTGTTCTTTTGAAAGTAAATCAAAAGAACGCAACAGTTTTTTCGACCGTGAAAAACCTCGTTTTACAGGGAATAACACCTTTTTTTGAAAGTGCTCTTTCGAAAAAAGGCGCTATGTAATGCAAACTGTGCTTTTTCGAAAGAGAGGATCCAGCGTCTTGCTTTTTCGAAAGTACTGGTTGTAGTGTAGACGCTCTTTTTCGAAAGAGGCTTTTTCGAAAGTATCTTTTGAAAAAGCCTCTTTCAAAAGAGGCTTGCAGTCTAGATTTAGCCATAGACTTTTTACATCAGCACAATTCCACTCGCTTCACAAAATCTACTTCTTATACTGATTGGAGAGATTAATCAAACACAGTGTTCTGATTTGTCTCCAAGTCTAATGACTTGAAACCTAGCTGGAAATCTTCTCTTTGATGCAATGCATATACGTTTATATGGTTTATCAAAAGGAAAAATAAAGGAATCAAAGAACAATAAATTAATACCCAAATTTCGTGTCCAAGATAACTTGCTTCCTTTGTATTTTGCCAAGCTATCTAGTACATTTATCCCAATTACACCCTGGGATGATCATATGAAAATACAGCATGAAAATAACAATGAATATAAAATTTCTTATAAGGTTTTCAGAGATTGGGCCCTCCCAGAATCCAAGACATTTGAGCTGCATCCCTGAAAGTTCAACCTGCTCTTTTTGGCCTAGTTTGCCACAACAAGAAGGGAAACAAATGTTGTTGTGCCCAAGAGGTCTTTAAAAGCTCCTTTAAAGAGTAAAGGCAAGATTGTAGAATCTGAAGCTTGCCTGCATCACTGGGGGAAAGATAATTTGGAAAGAATGGTAGGTTCATGGCCAGAGGAGATGTCTGAACTGTCTCCAGTACTTACAGGAACAGAGGTGCAACCCAAATGTCTTGGGCTGAGGGACTGATCAGGATCTAGAAAGAAACATTTGACTTAACTGCAATCCTTCAACAATTAGAGAAAGTAAATTCTGAAAAAGAACTAGGCAGTACTATAGATTGTAATTATAGCATTAATAACTAGAGTCTGTACTTACTCTTTGCAAGGAGCAGTGAACCAAAGGCAACCACTATAACAAAGATGGCACAAATGGCATCCAAGCGCACAGCAAACCATCGGGAGGTAGTCAAGAACAGAAACCAGGCCTCTAAAAGAGTTTTTTTAAGTCACAATAAGAACAACAAAATTGGGTAAAAATAAGTTCTATAGTGACTCCCATAATACAGCAATGTAAAAGCTAATTCCATGAGCTGCAAACAATATCACTGTCTTGGAAAGAGTTTGCATGTATTGATGATGATGATGCCCTGTCTTCCTTGCTAGCGCTGGCCAGTTTTCAAGTTTTACACTGTTACTACAGCTGAAACTGGTATATGAAACAGGAGTTGGAACAGAAATTAAATAATTTAGAACTTGATTCAAAGCTCCCTGAAACCAACATAAAAATCTTCATCGACTTCAACAGACTTTGGACTAGATACCTAGTACATTATCTAAAACAGCAGTACAATTTTCTTTAACATAACATTTTACATAGAGTATATCCCAACCTGCTTCACAGAATTGAATATAACTAGTCAGTGCGGGTTATATGATATAAATCACGAAAGAACGCAGCATAGTCTTTATGATGAAAATTAAAGTACTCAAACTTAGAGCCAAAACCAGAAGTCAAAATAGATACATGGTAAAATTCTGTATCACTTTGAAATCTGGGCTCAAATAAAATGTATTTTCATATAGCTAAATTCATAGTTATATGTTTTGAAAAAGGGAATTGGGGCCACAGCTACAAACTAGAGGAGTGTGTGCTGGAAAACAGTGACTCTGAAAAGGTTTTAGGTGTCATAATGGGTCAAAGAACTGAACATGAGCTTTCAGTGTGATGCTATAGCAAAAAGGGCTAATGCACTCCTTGGAGGGTATAAGCAGGGGAGTAGTTAAGTAGGATATGGGAGGCAATTTTATGTCTGTGTTTATGGCATTGGAGAGACTGATACTGAAAGACTATGCACAGTTCATGTGTCCACATTTTCAAAGTATGTTAAACTAGAGAAGGGGAAGAAAAAAGTCACAAATCGTTTAAAGGCTATGGAAAATGCCTTGCAACAAGAGACTTAGGCCAGGCCTACAATGGAAAAGAAAATTGATGCAAGATACACAAGTTCAGCTACATGAATTGCGTAGCTGGAGTCAACATACCTTGCATTGAGTTGCTGGTTAGCCCCACAGTGGAAGGTCAATAGGAGAAACTCCCAGTGACTTCTCTTACTTGTCGCAACTGGCTGATAGGGATGCCCTCAGCACTTAATTTAGTGGGTCCTCACCAGACCACTAAATTGAACACCAGAAGATCCAGAAGATTGACCTTTGTTGAAGTGAAGATGTGCTCTTTGGGTGTGTCTAGACTACCTAGTTTTGTCGACAAAAGTGGACTTTTGTCGACAAAACTATACCAGCGTCTACACTACCGCTGAGTTCTGTCGACATAACGTCGACAGAACTCAGCAGTTTTGTCGACGCTGGTATACCTCATTTTACGAGGCATAACACCTTCTGTCGACAGAACTCTGTCGACAGAAGGTGTTATTGCCTGTAACATTGCGTCCAGACTACGGAGTTCTGTCGACAAAGCAGCTTGCTTTGTCAACAGAACTCAATGTGTCTGGACGCTCTTTGTCGATGGAAGTTTTGTCGACAGCATCTGTCGACAAAACTTCCGTCGACAAAACGCGGTAGTCTAGACGTACCCTTTGAGAGCTCAATTTGTTCAGTTTATCAGAAAGAAGACTGAGAAGTGTTTTGATTACAGTGTATGTGTACCTGCATAGGAAGAAAATATCTAGTACAGTAATAGAAAGACATAACAAGAATCAATGGTTGAAAGCTGATATGAGATAAATTCTTCATATCAAGATTGAGTGACTTTCTGGGAGATAAATTTTAGCCAAACATAAACTACTGGACTCAGTACAGGAGCAGTTAGGTGAAATGTAATAGCCTGTAATATACACGAGGTAAGATTAGACAACCAAATTGTCTCTTTTTGCCTGAAACTCTACGACTCTACCAATTAACAGGAAAAAAGGGCAAACTATTATAGAATGCTTGGTGCAAACATAATTCAGATTACTTTTGCTTATAGAATATCAATACTGGAGACAAGAAGA